TATTACAGATAAAACATAATGAAACTACATGTATTACATGTACATGTACTAGTATTACATTCACTTCAAAGCTGCGAATCCAACTTGATTAGTGTCTTGATCAAACACGCTATATACATTCTTTATAAAGGCATCACCAAGCACCCATTGTGTGGGATTGCTCGTGACATCTCCTACAATATTTCCTGTGCAATTCGTGCTATTGCCTAGATGAATCACCAGATCTTTGTAGTGAATATTCCAATATTTTCCACTGAACTTCAGGCTAACCACAGGTCGACTATCGCAAGGTAAATTGTAATAGTGTCTGTTACCTTTGATCTCAAGCCTAGAACCAGGAATAAGTGCGTAAATTTTTTTGGCATCGGGTGATGGAACGATTATACGTGTAGTTCCGGTATCAATATTTGCAGTACGGTTTTGAAAGCCTAATCCTAGTGGTTTACCATTGACAGAGCTATCATCAAGATAAATTTCCCAGCTACAATAATAACCCTTACATCTCCCCACGCTACTTTTCACCACACTTGCCCAGGTAATCGGATCAGTGAACAAGGATGGATTCCACCCGCCTATTGATAATTCGCTCGTCGTTTTATCTGCGTCTCTTCCAAGCTTGAAGGCGAATATCGCTGAATCAATTAAACCTTGATTTTTAAGTAAGGTCATTGGTGTGGTTTGTCCATTGGGACTTAGGTTGTCATATGCCATTCCCATCATACCATCAAATGGGATATTGAGCATACTAGTGTCGTTAAGTGTATCGACAACACCGAATTTTTGACCTGTCACTTTAAGGCCCGCGATAGTAAAATCTGATGATCCCGTTATTCCCTGTGCCTCTCCTACGGCATACTTAATAGAAAATGTACCGAGACTTTTGAATGTTGAAGCCTTTTTATATTTGTTTTTGCCTTTACATTCAATCGAAGCACAAGCTTCACTCGGAACCCAAAGATCAGAAGATCCTGTATCGAATTGTACTTTAAAAGTTTGCGTGCCAATAGTGATTGGTCCGTAATATGCGAAGTCTTCACCGTTAACTACATGGTCTAATACTTTCATATACACAACTTTTTTTAACGGAATTTTAATCGGGATGGATCGCTTATAAGGTAACGCGTCAACAAGTAGCAAAAGAGCTGTTAACATGCTAACAATATAGAACGTGTGCATTACGAATTAAATGAGCTATTGAACCGATGGTTAATTGATGACTATAATTTCTTTAGATACGCAAAAAAACGTAGATACATTGAAAGGGTGTATTTAAATACCCTTACGGAAAGTGAACACTATGCTCCGTAAGCATCCTGCTACGGAAGGCACACACCAAGCTCCGTAAGCATCTTTCTCTGGAAAGTACATATTAAGCTTCGTGAGCATCTTGTTAATGTAACAACAACAAACGCAAGATTGATAAAATTGTCAATGAATTTTGTGGCGTTCGTACCTACCAAAAAACTTTTTTTTTAGATTTCAATGAATCATTTATACGATCGTGTTAAAAAAATGAATTCCTGCACAATGAATTATGGCATTTCATTTATGTCATCTATTTTTGTATCGGTAAAACTGGCCACAAAGATCGAATTTCTCACACAACACTTGCGTACAAAGTTAAAAATAAAAACTATAGCGGGCTAAATCATTATGTTACATAAGAAAAACATTATTAACAGGTGTGACCTTTTGGGTCACAGTAAT